CCACGTACATTCTTACGACCAACGGGCATGTCATCTGGAATATGTCGTCGCAAGCAAGATTGGGTTGGTCGTAATCGATAGTAGGAATAACATACAGATGGAAAACCCTCTAGAACCACTGTAGGTATCCCTAAACTAAATCAAACGGAGATGACGTCGATCTTACATGACTTATAACATGGTCTGCATAGTGCAACCAGACAACATCAATGGTGAGTATGTCCACCTCTACAAAAACATGTGGCGGTCATGGGATGATCTACTAAAACCTATACTACCTCAAGACACGTTTAGGAAAATGTTGATGAAGCATCTCAACAATGTTGATCCACCTAAAGAGCATACAGATGCCTAAAAATGGACGAGTGGCCCAATGTGACTCATATGGGTACCAAATCACCTCATGGTATGTGAGGCCATCAAAATTTGACCTCGCTTCGACCAGGTTGAAAACCTACCTCCTTGTTACCCATAGAGTGACATGCGGTCTGTCTTCATCATAAGAAGACAACACACGCCTCCTTCCTATCCCAAGGAAGTGCTAAAAAATCCAACTCTAAAAAAAAATTAATTCTTGATCAACGATAATGACAAAATCGAAGAAAATCAAAGTGCAAAGTATATGTGCACTTGTAAAAGAGTCATATATCCTATCATTTGCTTTGTTGAAGCAAAATTGGCATCTCCTAGCTGCTCTTACATGTGGGATAATGTCATATGTGTGTAAGTCTTTGAACAACAATAAGTAAAACACGTTAATGGAAGTGATACTCTTTTTTGTGAAGATAGTGCATCCAACTAGATGCAACAAATATGCTCGGACAACTTACTCCCACTATTGTTGCTTACAAAACTCATCATAGATGTCTCTCAACCAGTTCAACCTCCCTTTCGAACTGCATGTGTCTCTCATCTCAGCACTAGCCTTCCCACCATCCATGTCTACAATCTCTACAATTGTCGATCGAGCTTCTTCAAATTTCAACTCCTCAATATTACAAAACAATTAATAAGAGATCAACTTGATTTTCCCTCAATCCTACACAATAACAATTAATATAAAATTTGTTGAAACTAAATAATAGCCATTAAAATTCAAGTTTTGCATTAACCTAGTCGTATCATAAGGCATAAGCACCATGTTCAACATAATCAGTCAATAGGAAAATATCCTTTGGACCTCCTAAAAATCCACCAACTTCCTCATTTACTTGAGGAACATCCTCATGCTCTTCCTCCTAAACAATATGTTTCTTAATTGGATGATCCTCAAACTGAACATCTGGATGCTCCTTAAATTGAACATCAACTTCAACATCTCTACGCCTTCTACGAGATGAAGCAATAGGCCTACTCCTCGCTTCACCTTGCAAGGAACTCTCTTCTTGATACGAAGATGCACCTCGGATACACTGTCATACCTATCCATTTATTTTCATTCAATAGTAAAAACATAGGTCAAAATTTAATAAATTAAAATAATTATATAATTATATAATTACAAAGCCCTATTAAATTATTAAAAAAACACAAAAATGAGTTAAAAATAAATGACATTACACAATTAATGGATTTTGAAATTCGTTGAACACCAAAATAGATTTCAAAATTCGTTGAAGCCAAAAACATATTTTGAAATCCATTGAAGCCCAAAATGAACATTTTCAACTATGGCAAATTCTTAAAACATTTTCATTTCAAAAGTTCAATAAGCCAACTATTACAAATCCTATTTAAATCAATCTTTTAAGCATAAAATTTCAATTAAAATTCAAAATTAAAGCTTAAACGAGGGCATAAATATGCATTATCCTTTAGTAATGCAAGAATGGGTGCACTAGTCAACTCATGCTTAAGGGAAACGAAGTATTTTTCTTGTTTTTATTCCAATTTAAACCTGATATTCTTTTTAATCTAATTTAGAAGGACTGCTAAAGTGCTAAAATTCTTTATAATTTTTTTTGTAGAAACTATCTAGTATATGAAAACTTCTAACCTCACTCAAATTTTTAGGGATAGTTCATTCTTGGATAGCCTTCACCTTTTCATAATCTCTTGAACCCCTTTGACGCTCACCACGAAACCCAAGATGTAATTTTTTTAGTGAAAAATGTGTACTTTTCAAGATTAACATACAAGTTTTCCTTTCTAAGCACATTCAAAACAACACACAAATGTTTCACATGCAATTCTAGACTAGTGTTATAAATCAAGATGTCATCAAAATACAACGCAACAAATTTGTCTATAAATTCTCTCAAAACATGGTTCATTAATCTTATAGAAGTACTCGAGGACATTAATTAGCCCAAAAGGCATTACAAGCGAATCATGCAACCCATTTTTTTAAAGGCAATTTTCCATTCATCCCACTCCCAAACCCTAATTTGATAGTACCCACTTCTTAAGCCAATTTTTGAGAATATACTAGCACCATACAACTCATCCAATAAACCATATAACGTGGGAATGAGATGTCTTTACTTGATGGTGATGTTATTCAATGCTCTACAATATGTGCACATCTTTCAAGAACCATTCTTTTTAAATACTAAAATGACTAGAATAGCACATTGGTTCACGGTTTCTTTCATCCATCCTTCGTTAATCAATTCTTCAACTTGAGTTTGAATATCTTTTGTCTATGAGGGTTGCTTTGGTAAGTTGGACTATTTGGCGTAGATGCTCTAGGAAGAAGGTCAATGTGATGTTCAATTACCTTTAGAGGTGGTAGTCCTCTTAGTATTTCATTTGGAAAAAATATCCTTGAAACCATACAAAAGAGACTCAATAATAGAAGGAAGATTCATTTACTTAGAGTGGTTAGCAATCAAAATGTTATTTCTACCATGAAGTAAATAAAGAGGTTTTCTTGAAAGTAACAACTTCTTTTCACTCACTTTCACTTAATCCCTCATTTTTTTTCTCACGTGTTTCTCTCTTTTAGGTGTTTCACTCTTGCCTATATGTGTTTCACTCATATATGTTTTCTTTTGAACTTTCTTTTTTCTCAATTTCATTTAATCTTCACACACTTCTCTAAGAGATAAAGGTTTGAGAATATCTTTTTCTTTTTGTGCATGAAAAAAAAATTATTGGTGAAGCCATCATGGATGGCCTTTATGTCAAACTACCATGGCCTTCTTAAAAGAACCTGATTTGCCTCCATTGGAACCGTATCACACAAGACTTTGTCAATATCTCTCCATGTTCACTAAGCCATTGACGTTTGTATGGCCTTGGGTAGGGTTTTGTCTCCAAATTCAATTTGGTAACTATGAGTGAACATATTTTCCCTTGAATGGAACATCTAGTATGAAAAATATTTTCTCTTTGGATTTGGTCCAAAGCTTGAATCTTACTTCCAGAAGCCTCCTAACGATTAACAAATCAACCTCCAATGCATTCACCTCCACCTTTGTCTCTTCCTTCTCTTCTTCACTTGAAGGTTCACTATCTATTTCTTCATTTATTAACATAACCATATTCTTTTTTTTTTCCAGAAATTATGAAGCATAATGTCCTCTTCCCAAAAACTTAAAACATTTTATTTCACTAATCTTCCTTTTAGGTGATGAATTATTATACCTATTAGGTGACTTTCCATGTGAAGATGTGTTAAACTTGAGCGAACTCCTTCATCCTTCACAACCTTAACGTTCCAACTAGAAGTATTATTATTATTAAAGCTCCTCCTCATGGTTCACTTTCTCTGAAATGTTGGAATTGTGCAACATAATAATGATGTTTAGACAAAACCAAGAGGGAATGAATCGATTTGTTAATAAAGCTATATACTTTTTTATAAAGCAAAATGTATATGTTTATACACTACATGTTCATACATTATATGCGAGATTTGGACAGTAAATGTGTCACTCTTTTTACCGAAGAATTTATCGTTCATAAATGCATTGGTAATAAGTTATTAATTACCGACAAATTTTATAAATAGATTATCCATTTATCGACGAAAAAAAATTTCAGTTACCAATACATATTTCATTTATCGACGAAAAAATTCATCGACAATTGAAATATGTATTATTAACAAATTCACTGACAAAATATTTTGTTAATAACAAATCCATTGATAAAAAATTTGTCGGAAATTAAAATTTCTAAATCCATCGATAATTCAAATTTATCGGCAGATTTATTTTTGTTGATTAAATTTTGTTGGCAATTTCAGAAATTTTGTAGTGAGTTAACATAGGCTGAAGAAATGAACATAGTTATCTAGGTAAAAGTCCGAGTTGAGTTGGCTCGTATAAGATCTAGTTGAGTCGGCTCGTGTAAGGTCAAGTTGAGTCAATCATAGCCAAAAATTGAGTCGAATTGACATTGTCTTAGATTAAGTCAAATCAATTTTTTTCTTAGTTAACCTAAACTCAAGTAGAGCTGAGTTGACATTGATCCAAGTCAAATCAAGTCGATTCAGAACTATATTGGCTTAAATAAGCTTTGACTAATATTGAGGTAAGACCATTCATACTTAAATCGAGTCAAATAAACTAATTAAACTCAAACAAGCACAAATAAGCCTGAATTTAAGTAAAACTGAATCAACTTAAATATATTATATCAATCTCACTACAATTAATCCAATTGATAAAATAAATTTAATGAAAGAATTAAATATAATAAATCTAATTAAAATGAAATTAAATATAAATTCAATCTATTTTATTAAATTTAAATTAAATTTAGAGTGACATCATCATACTTAGATAGCTACTTATGTGAGATATACCAACATTGGGTTGTGTAGCCACGTTACCTATTTTCACATGTGGTTGTCGTGAAAGTTCAGATTGAGGTAACATGACGGTGATAGAACACAATATTGCATCTTCATGGACACAATACGTAAAATTATAATATAATTTTATAACTATTAGAAGAGAATAACAAATGGAACATAAAACTTAAAAATAGAGGTTAGATAAGTAAAAAAAAAAAAAAAAAACTCGTATATCATGCATAAATGATATTTTGACGTACATAAACTTTTTATATTTATTCATTTGATACTATATGTTATGCTATATTACACTTCTCCATAACATGGCCAAGTTATCCAACGCAACACGTGAAGTTCCACCTTCACCCAATGCTTCTGCTGCAATGATTTTCATTTTGAAAACCCTCTGACGAATTTCCTTCCCCGTGTCCGATTAACATGATGGTGACAGAACACAACATTGCATCTTCATGAAAATTTTATTAAGTTTTTCTACAGAATTTTTTATTATTGGAAAAGAAAAAACTTGTTAAATGGAACATAGATTTATAACTATTAGGAAGAGAAGAAAAACAGATGGAATATAAAGCTTATAAACAGAAGTTAAATATTGAAATAACTCGTTTCCCATAACGTAGCCAACTTATTCAACGCATCACGTGAAGTTCCACGTTCACCCAATGCTTCTGCAGCACTGAGTTTCATCTTGAAAACCTTCTGACGAATTTCTTTCCCCTTGTCCGATTCCATGAGTTCCTTCAGTCGCTCCCCCAACTCACTCCCACTCACTGACCCATCTTTCTCCTCCTTCAGCGCCAAAGCAACTTTCATTTCCTGAACCATAAACACCCTATTCAGCTTCTGCTCGGCGTACAATGGCCACGCCACCATTGGCACCCCTTCGCACACGGATTCCAGCACCGAGTTCCACCCGCAGTGAGTCACAAACCCCCCCACTGAGTCATGACTCAGAATCTCCCTCTGTGGGGCCCAGTCCCGCACCACCAACCCCTTCTCCTTCGTCCTCTCCAAAAATCCTTCTGGCAACAACTCGTCCAGACTCGGTTTCTCCTCCACCGAGTCACCACATTCCAACTCGGTCCTCACCACCCACAAGAACCTTTGCTGGCTCTTCTCTAACCCAATAGCCATCTCCTTCAACTGCTCCCTCGAGAACAACCCCATGCTTCCGAAACACAACAACACCACGCTCTGACTCGGTTGCGACTCGAGCCAACTCAGACATCCTTTGTCTTTTTCCCCATATGATGCAGAAATCACGGGGCCCACACAAAACAACGGAGGCACGGTCCCGTCGTCGTTCAACACTGCAATGGCTTTCTCTTCAATCGCTTCACAAGTGTTTATTATAATCCCAGAACTACCCTTCATGGCTTCCGCTATCTGAGAGAAAATCTGGTTAGTGTAGTTCAAAGGATCGATGGATTCGTTTGGAAAGTCATCGATGGAGATAGCAGGCAACCCTGGGAAGTGAAGTAGAAACTGTTGATCTTTGATTTGTTTTGGGAGAGTGGTGGAGATATGAAAAAGCACAACGAGGCTGGAGGCTGCGGATGTGTAGTAGAAGAAAGTGGGGATGTTTGTGGTGAGATTTTCAGTGAGAGTTTTGGGGTTGCTGAAGTTTAAGAAGTCAATGACAAGGGCTTTGATGTTGGAGGCTTTGATGAGGCTTTGGAGTGCAAGGGCAACGTTTTGTGTGCTGTGTCGGGAGAGTTCGAGGGAGATGAGGTGAGGGGGGAGGGAAGGGGTGTCGAGGGGGAGTTGGGCCATGGGAACGCTGTGTAATGTGATTGCGGGGATGGTGGCGGAGACGGCGGCGATGTATTGGGCGTTGGAGTTGCAGGCTAGGGTGAAAGTGGCGTTGGGGGATGGGGTGAGGATGAGGATGGTGATGGAAAGAGAAGGGTGGTGGGATAGAATGAGCTTGCCTAGCTCCACCATGGACACTAGGTGACCCCTACCAATGTTAGGGTACAGAACAATGGTGTCTTTCATGTTGGAGAAGAAAGGTGAGTAGAGTATGGAGTCCTACGCAAGTTGCTTCTGGCTCTATTTATGGACAAAGAGCCATGTGTTTCGTTCTTTTGTCCTATTTAGCACTGGTAATATTCTTTATTTTGTATAATTATTACATCCTTATTATTTTTCTTTATTATATTATGTATTTTATAAATTTATAAATTTTGTTTCTTTATAAACGTATATTAATGGATCAACATATTATATATATATATATATATATATATATATATATATTTGTTTATTTTCATTCAAAGTATGATATATATGATTCATAGTTTAAATTTGAGTAAAATAAACTCATAACTGCTCATGTATAATTTTATTTTTGAAAATAATAAAGTAGTTGTTATAATTTTTTGTTTAAACATTTGGTTGATTATCGTTTTTTTTAAAAAAAATCTTAGTTATATTCATAATAGTCTCAATGAGATATTTTTGAAAATGTATAATAAATAGGCTCTAGTTAATAATGTTGTCTAAATTGTTAATGACGATGCACAATAGACATACTTTTGTGGATTTTATTATGACGTGGAATTTTAATTTTGTTGTTGTGCTTTAGGTTAAAATTACAACATGTTGATACTCTTATAGATAAAACACAGATTTAGGGATTTGAAGCATTTGAGTATTGATCGAAGGACCAGTGAATGTGATTTTGAGTCCAAATTGTGTGTACGTTGATGATGAAACGTTTTCACTAGTGAATGTGAGTTTCATTTCATTTCATGGATGGTTGTCGATTATTTTAATTCTCTGGGTATTTACTGTCGTGGTTGGGTGCTGCATTTTCGTTTTGAGATGAGAATGTTTTGTTTTTAGGGATAGTAATTGTTATTTATGCATTGTCTTGTTGAATGTGGTCAATTTGTCTCTTATTTTATTAAAAGACAAATGAGAAGAGAGAATGTTCATTGAGGGAAAGAAAACAAGAGCACAGTAAGCCATAAATTTTCTTTAAAATGTGAAAGCCTATAGTTGGTTGATTTTTATTGTTAAAGCTCTATAATTAGCTAATTATGGGAAGCTAACTTTATCCAATTATTTGTATACTTAATTGTTAATTAAATTATGAATATCTTGAATTATTTTTTAGAATATGGTGATTTATTTGGAGGATTTGCGAGACTTGAAAGTTACTGTACTATGTATATTCTCTACTTATGAATTCATAGTTGATTCTTTTTCTGTTCTATAAATGGAATCCTTTTAATGCTTTCGAAAAATGAATTAAACGAAAGTGAGAAAGATAAAAAAAATATTGAAAACGTGATATTGAAGGAATAGATCAGTGGTTAGTTTTCCTTTTAATTGTATTTAGAAATAAAGTAAGAATTAGGGTTTCCTTTTAATGTTAATTAAAATTAATTAGAGGTTGTTATATAAAGTAAGAATTTTGATTTCCTGTTAACGTTAATTAAAAATAATTTGGGGTTGTTAATTTCTGTTGTAAGTGATAAATTTTAATTATTTCTCTAATTCTAAGTGAGAAATTTAATTAAACCAATTGAATCCTAATTACTCTAGTTAAACCCCAAATGCCGATTCATCTCAATACCCTAATCTTAAGAATTTTTTCCCCAATTTTGTTTGTCTTCCTCTTCTTCGCGGAAACCCCAACAAAAAATAATAATAATGAATTTAATTGGGCTAGTGGACTTGCAAGGTCTGGATTTTTGTTGGACATTGGGTTATAAAATAAGAGATGAAACATTAACAATTAAAAATGAGAATAATAATAATAAATATTTAATTAGTGGAAATGGAATTGGAAAGAAAAATTAAAATATTGGAAATGTAATTAGAAATAAAATTAATTGTTTTTAAAAAGGAAATAATGAAGTTACAAGGGTAATTAATCGAGTTACAAAAGTAATTGAATTAATAAATGATTGATGTTTTCTCTTGATGTTGAACGGTATATTGTGTGACTTATTGTTTGATTGAAACTCAAGAGAGGTCCATATTAGAATGACATTAGACAAAGATGAAACTTTATGGTTGAATGATAAAAAAAAGGGGTATAGATAGTATTTAGTTTGACTATCAATTATGTTTGATTGACTTTATGAAATTTTGAGTTTTAAAAAGTGAAGTCGCATAGATTGAGTTACGAATTTAATAGCGTAAGGTGGAGTTTGGGTCTTATTAAGTGTTATGCACTTGAAGAGAGGGATGTGTCTATCTTGTACCTGTAAATCCTGACTTGGACTATCTACCATATGATACGGGATATGGGTATCTTTGGCCTTTTGTGCGAAAAGAGAGTGACGTTTGAGTGTTGTACCTTCTTTGTAGGTGGAATGATGTTTTGCTTGGTCTCCAACTCGTTGCTGAGTATAGTACCCGGTGCGTGATGTGTCTATGTTTTTATTCGTAAGTCCTTGCGGAGCAGGGAAGCATGTCCTTTAGCCGTAAGGGCAGGACGACTCAAATGAGCCTGTATGGGAAAGCTATAGGTGGTATGGTTATGAGCTTGTATGGGGAAGCTACATGTGGTATGTTATGAGCCTGTTTGGGGAAGCTACATGTGGTATTGTTATGAGCCTGTATGGGGAAGTTACACATGGTATTGTTATGAGCTTGAATGGGGAACCTACAAGTGGTATGACTATGAGCCTGTGTGGGGAAGCTATAGGTGGTATGGTTATGAGCCTGTATAGGGAAGCTACAGGTGGTATGGTTAGGTACAGGAGACATACCAATGTCCTTCGTGATAATGTTGGGAATTCGTAGTGACTTTGTGTTTAGAGATGATGTTGATAAGGATAACGTTGATGGTATAGTAATGATATAGTTAATGAGAATGTTAATGATGATCATGGTCTAGAAATCATTCCGTTAGTAGGATAGCGTTGTAGACAATGATTTATTATTAAGTTAAGTTGCTTCTTTTGGACAAATTTTATTGTTATTGGTTGTGTTATGGTAGCTTACCCATATTTGTTTGTGTTTGTGGTTGTGCGTGTGTCTTGTGATGATCGTATGACTTTTGGTTATACGCGAGCAGAGGATGTTGCAGATGCTCCAGATGCATGATAGAGACGCAAGAGTGGGAAAACAACTTGGATTATTTAAAGCTTTTGTGCTATAAATTTTAGAAACAATGTAATTGGATTTACTTTATTTCATTTTTATTTTATTAATTTCGATATTATATAATTGAATTTTTGGAATGATATTATGATTTTAAAAATTTTAAATTTCACTCGTAATCGGAACATCTAAAAAATCGGGGTGTTACATGGTCATAATTTGTTTATTATTTTGTGGGCATAGTTTACAGGTGCAAAAATATATAGGTTAGATTGTCTTAGGAGCGTTTTAAAGTGGTGGTCCACCATAGTGGACACTTTTTAAGTGACGATAGTTTGAAATTTTAATTTGATGGGAAATAACACACTGGTTTTGTGACCCACATACGTAGAGTTATTTTGAGATTGTAGGTGGATTAAGACTTGAGACGTGTTTAAGTGAAGGAGTTATGGTACTTAGGAGGTGGGTCATTGTTGGAAGATAGGTTGAAACTTTTGACTGACGACAATGGTGTTATGCATATGCTTAATATAACGAAGTTAAACAATGTAATTCCGTTGTATATGGTACATAAAATGTTGGAACCTAAGATAATAGATTGATTTAGTATGTTAAGTTGGAGGTTGTTGGTCAACCTAGGTTAACTGAGTTAGAAGAGGATGATCAATTTAAGCGTCTTGGTGAAGGTAAAAAGCAATTAGAGTAGAGGGGTCAGTTGGATTGTGATGGTGAACTTGGGTTAGAAGATTTACAAGAAGGTGGTTAATGTCAATATGGTGGTGAAGTTGAAAAGCAATTATAAGGGGAGGGGGATTGTTGGAGGGTCATGTTGAACCAGGTGGATTAGAAGATCTAGACAGGGGTGATTAATTGAAGGGTGATGGTGAAGGTGAAAAATAGGTGGATGAGGGTGGTTAGTTAGAGGATGTAAATGATGACAATGATACTAAATGTGAGTCTTTTAGTGATGAAGGGGTACTTTATATCAACATTGATTGTAACATAGATAACGATATAGATAATGAATAGGATGGTAATGTTCAATATGAAGTGGGAAGTATTGCACTAGACCTTGTTAGGACTTCAAGGGCAAAAATAATAGAAGAAAACTGTAGTGGACTAATTATAACTTCAAGGGCAAACTTCATAGAAGAACAATGTAGTGATTCAAATTATGATGTCATTGGACTGTGGGATATTAAGTGACACTGAAATGGGCTAGTTAGTGCTACAAATAGAAAGGAGAAAAATGTTGATAGAGAGAGTTATGGTGGGTTTGTTGATAAGAGAGTTTCAGTTAAATGTCAAATGTTTGGGTGTAAAGGAAGAATGCAAGTGGTATGCTTATTGTGCTTATATGTGTGTTTTGAAGTCATGGAAAGTAAGAAAAATAATTGATTTCATAGTTGTAAGACGGATTTTAACATGAAATTAATGAATGCCAAATGGTTAAGTAAGAATATGGAGAAAACACACTAATGGAAAATAGAAGACTAAAGCCTTGAGAGATAAAGAAGGATGATATTGAATTAAGAAAGGTAAGGTTATGGAAATGATGTTCTGCTTATAGGGAACTTGGACACAAGAAAACTTTTAGCCGACAAACAAGTGAACAAACTAAATCAACACCATCTCCACCACAACAAGCATAATTAGCATTATTTATAACACAACAAATTGAATCAACAGTTTCTCCATATAAACACATTTTAATACACAGTCAGTGCCACCAACACAAACAACAAACTCTAGTGAGTAATCCTCCCACGTTGTTGTCATTCCACCTCAACACCTCTCAAGAGATAGACAAAACATCAAGCACAAACGAAGGCTAAAAGGGGATGTCTTCAAAAGCCATGACCTTAGAGTTGTAATGTTTAATTTTTGTCTATGTTAACATGTTATTTGGTGGACATTTAGTTTGATGTGCTTACTTTGTGCATGTATTTCCTTTGTGCATCAAGAGGCGATGTATTTT